TTCTGCCTGTTTTGTCTCCGATGTGGTTATGTTATTAATGATCCTGCTAGTGGGGGTTAAACGCTAGCACATGTCGACATGTTATTGATAGAACTGGTTTGTTTGAGTGACCTTGCTAGTGGGGGTTATACACCAGCAAATAGTGTAGCCTGCCAATGGGAGGTTTAAAACACTGGCCATGACCTATAGAGGAGACGTCTATTTCGTTCCTATACTATATCCGTTTTTCGTAATTGTACTTGTTAGCATGCTATGAGTTTAATTAAGGGCACTCCATATTTTACTTACTGAGTTTATCTCATAGTTTTTCCTTGTCCACCATTTCAGGAAGCGAAGCCGAGGACGGGGAAATCACGAGAGGTGACGAGTTAGAAGGCTAGCCATTTCGAGATTGATATAGATTTTAGAAATAAATCATGCTTTTGTAAGATAGATTTTACCTTGAATTTATGAGATCAAAACAGAGTTCAGTCATTAGATCAATTACTTGGATTTAAGTCATTTTGGTTATAGAAATAAATTGAGATGTTTGATTTAAATTATTGGATTGTCAGATGTGAATTGGATAAGTTCCGAGCCTTGTGCATTTGTGGGACCCTCTCACAAATGCATGACGTTTGCCGCGCCTCAGATTTGGGTTCTGGGGCATGACAAATTAAGTGGTATCAGAGCTTAGGTTAAATTAGATATCTAGAGATTAAGTGGTATTGAGCTTAGGTTTAATTGAATACCTAGGATTTGTTTAGAACTTGGCTAGCCAATAGATTTTAGAACCGTGGTGAGACAAGTGATGAGGTATATAAGGGACGATTCTGATTTATGTTGCCTGAATTTCCTAATCCATTTTGATGAGATGGTAATCCAATTGTTCTTGTTCCCTGCCTTCATACCCTGTGTAGATTCATGACATTAATCTTGTCCGCCATGTTCTGAAGACCTTGTTTTGAAACTTGGTCATTTTCTGATAGTGTGCACTTGTTTAGACTTGAATAGAATTTTTGTATGTTTTTTTGCCACAATTGTAGAATCTGGGGAGTTGCAGAGATCTTTTGTTAATGATCCTGTTGGTCTCTACAGCATAGTTGGTTGAGAAATTTGCTCTGTTTGTCACATGACCAGTGGAAGATGGGCAACCCTTTACTTTGTAAAAGATTCAATGCTATTTTAGCAAATGTTGTGTGTCTTCTAGATGCGTTTTAGGAGCTGGATAACTTGGTAATTTTGTTGCTCATTATCTTTCTAAAAGTCTTGTAGTGAAGTTTCACTTTTTCCATTTGGAGCTTCATGGTCTTTTCATGTGGCTCATTTTTCTATATTGGTTAATCAAAAACAGTGATCAATTCAATTGAAATTGCCATGTTTTTGTGAAGATTGGCAAGCTGTCATAAAGTTAAACTTTCTATTGTTGCTAATCTTTACATTCTTGATACCTAGAAACTGCTTGAAACTCTTGAAATCCATCTTGAACCTTTCTTGAGATTGCTTTGTACTTGTTCTTGAAACTGAAATCCAAAGGAAATGGATAATGATTATTGAAATCCGCATTATCTTGATACTTGTCTGAAACCATTTCTTGAAACTGTTTATGGCATTGTGCTTGGAATCGATTCGTAAAGCTTACTTGAAATTAATTCTTGTTGGAATTCTACTCTTGAAAATCGACTGCTATTGTTCTTGGAATCTATTTTTGAAAATCAATTGATAATTGGTTTTTGGAATCTATTTTGAATTGTCCTTGAAAACCATTCTTGTCTTGACCCTTGCTCTTGTTCAAATTCTGTATACTGCTCTTGGTCAAATCCTGCATATTCTGCTAGTTTTTGTTTTAGTATACCTATTGATCTTCTTGATTTTTTGATTTTTTGTTCATATGGACACCTCTTGAGGAGGGATGATGATTATTAGAAAATACCTATATGAGGCATCCTAATTCTTGTCTCTTGCAAGTGTTAATCTCTGTATTCTTGATGTCTTAGCTTTGACTTGACTCTAGGATGTCTAGGATGACTTGATTTTAAATCTGCTTAGCCTCCATGGGCTACGAGGTGAAGGGGTAGTCTTTGAAGTACCTGATGCCCTAGAGTTTTGTTCCAAGAGAAATGGTTCTTTTATCTGACTGCTTTGATTTTTGTTTGCCTTTTTAATTAGAAGACAGTAATCTTCTAAGTATCCTAATCCCCACTATTGATTATTGTGTCAATTAATTCGTGTTACTTGGGGTGCTAGATCTTAACATCCTGGTTATATCTGCTCTTGAATCCGTGTTCTGGTTGTCATTATTGAAATCTCTTTTGTGGGCCTAATCCTTGAATTCTATTGCTTGTTTCGTGGTTAACTCTTGTCTGTCAATTTTGATTGCTTGGTTAAATTTGATCTTGATTCTTGGTGAATGTCGTTTTGTTGCTGAAATTTTTGAGGCATTCTACCTTGCACTCTTATGTTCCAGTATTCTTCCAAACATTCATATTTTCCATTGATTTCATTCTGAAGCTATTCTGGAAATTTCACATGTCATTTGATGGGTCTAGCTTTTAACTCTTGTTAATTGCTAAAATCTGTCTTTTGATTCCAGTTGTTTTGTTAAACATGATCTTACTTATTGGTTAACCTTGTTTTGTGGCAGAATGTATAAGGCATCCATGCACTTGTTCATTCATTCATGGTCCATATATCCATTGGATGCTTATCCGTCTTTGATAGAGTTCAAAGTTTTGTTGTACGTGTCTTTAAATCCATGCCATTCTTTGCCAACTCGTCTTGTGTTGGGTTCATAGTGTAACCCCACAACTGTTCTTTTGTAGCCTTGGCAGGATTTATTTTTATTCCTTGTCCTTCCCATATCACCCCAGCCTCTAGTAGCTTGTTCATGGTAAACCCTGATAAGTAGTTAATGTTCTACTCTTAGGATTAGTTGTGGTTTGATATCAGAGTGGCGCAGCGGAAGCGTAGTAGGCTATGTTCTATTCATAAAGAGTTGGCGAGGCATTTGTTTTGTCTTGGATTGTGTGAAGCCATTCACCAGTCTAGATGGTTCTTAATGTGAGTTCTGGGGACAAAACTCCTTTTTAGGAGGGGTGAATGTAATATCCCAAAATTTATGGAATTTTAATATTAAGTTAAGGACTTGATTATGAGGAAATGCTGTTTTGGGACTTAATAGCAAAATTTTTAAATTTCAAGGGGCTTAAAAGTGAAAGATAATAGGATAAGGATCGGAGGATTTTTCTTCTTCCCAGCCTTGCACGTTTCTGCTCTTCTTCTCCCCTGCAGCTCCCAAAAGCTCCCAAGCTGCCGACTCCCCTTCCCTTGAGAAAAACTAGTAAGAAGCTTGGATTTTCCCCTTATTTTCTTGTTCAAGAACAAGATTTGGAGCCTTGAAATCTTCCCCCCTACAGGAAGCTTTCGAATCTGCTCTGCTCTGCTTCTTCCGTCCACTGCTCTGCCGTGTGTGGGGGTGTGATTTGCTCCAGTTTCTGGTAAGAAACAGCCATGAATCTCTTTTCTCCAGCTTTAATTGCCTTGGGTTTACTCTAATTTTGTGTTGTTCCTTCAATGTTGGGTTGATCCCGTGAGTTTCCCTGCACTGCCGCCGGCTTCCCCAAACTGCAGCTCCAGTTTTTGGCTGCTAAATTCTAGTATGTTGCAGCCCTTTAAGCCTAAAATTATCCATTTAGTTTGCTTCCTTGTGATGTCCGAAAATCTGCAGTAATTAGGGGATAATTCCGGTAGCTTTAGGACAAAATTAAGCATTAATTCAAGTGGAATTTATGTGATTGAGTGTTAATTGACTGTTGTGAATTTTGGAGAGAAAATCCCGTGAGATTAGCCATGGTTTTGCCAATTTTTGGAAGTTGCAGCACTGTTCATTGTGTGATTACTGTTCGTGATTACTGTTCACGGCACTGTTCACAGATATTGTTCACACACTAATGGCCAACAATTAACAGGGATTTAAATGTTTAGTTTGTAATATAAGAACAAATTTGGAGATGTCTGGTCATGTGGAGATTGATAGAAATAGCATCGTGATTGGGGGGTAATCATGGTGATTTTACTTTTGAATCCGTGGTACGATAATTAATTCTGGATATTTTGATTAAGTTCCTGCTCGTTTCTGTCAGTTTAGCATTGAGATCGAGTCTTCGATTTTATGCGAGTGAGGTAAATAAATTTATAGTAATGCCCGTACAGTTTTTAAAAGCATGTTTTGACTTGCTTTTGAAGTGGTGGCGGGACTAAAACCGTTTTATGCAAAAATAAGTATGACTAATTTGAAGTAAAATTTTTATGCTTTTTATTAAATTGAGCATGCCTACTTGAAATTTAATTGATTGTCCTGATGATTTGAAAGTGATTGGTGAATTATGATTTTTCTGTTCACTTCTGCCTGTTTTGTCTCCAATGTGGTTATGTTATTAATGATCCTGCTAGTGGGGGTTAAACGCTAGCACATGTCGACATGTTATTGATAGAACCGGTTCGTTCGAGTGACCTTGCTAGTGGGGGTTATACACCAGCAAATAGTGTAGCCTGCCAGTGGGAGGTTTAAAACACTGGCCATGACCTATAGAGGAGACGTCTATTTCGTTCCCGTACTGTATCCGTTTTTCGTAATTGTACTTGTTGGCATGCTATGAGTTTAATTAAGGGCACTCCATATTTTACTTACTGAGTTTATCTCATAGTTTTTCCTTGTCCACCATTTCAGGAAGCGAAGCCGAAGACAGGGAAACCACGAGAAGTGACGAGTTAGAAGGCTAACCATTTCAAGATTGATATAGATTTTAGAAATAAATCATGCTTTTGTAAGATAGATTTTATCTTGAATTTATGAGATCAAAACAGATTTCAGTCATTAAATCAATTACTTGGATTTAAGTCATTTTGGTTATAGAAATAAATTGAGATGTTTGATTTAAATTATTGGATTCTCATATGTGAATTGGATAAGTTTCGAGCCTTGTGCATTTGTGGGACCCTCTCATGAGTGCACGGTGTTTGTCGCGCCTCGGATTTGGATTCTAGGGCGTGACATATTATTAGTAGAAAAGCGTCATTATTTTCATCCTTAAGAGTAATGTGAATCCATGTTTTAAATATTTCTAATGTTGTAACGCTAACTTAAATTTCAATTCATTTTGGATAAATTTGAACAAGAATGGTAATATTGAACCTAAAAAAAGAAGGGATAATATTATAATACCTAAGATGACATAGTCTTGAAAATTATAATTTTCTAACAAAAATACAATTTGTCACTGGGTCTCCATCTATAACCATAATTTATAGTTTTTTCTCTTACTAAATTTTCTAATATTTGAAAGTCATATTAAATTCTGACTAATCTAGAGTTGAGTCAGGTTAAACTTTATAAGAGGGAAAACTCTCCCAATGCCTATATCTTCATTCATAAAACTCAAATTCAAGATTTTACTTAAAAAGAACTGATCTCCTTCCATTTGGATTAATAGGTTGTTGGTACCAACCATAATTTATAGTTATTACCAAGCCAATAAATATTACCCCACAACATAACTTCTAAGAGGACTTGAAAGGTTGAAAACCACCTTCCTATATCTTACAAACACAATTTTAGCTGCAAATTTCCAACACGAAAGTGACTTGTTGGGCAAAAATGAGCAATTGTGGAGCAACAACACCCTAACATTCACCATCATTTAATATTCTTTCTAAGGACATAATAATTTAAGCAATTGTTTATGTCTTTTTTTAATCTTGTCTTGCACAATTAGAGGCAATCATTTCCTATTCTTTTAACCCACTTTACATGCATATTATGTAACTCAAAATCATGGTCTCTTATTTCTATTGAAATGAAATTACTGTTAAACTACTTAGGTTGTTGGTAGCTATTCATGTCTATTGTTCATCTTGTTTACATCTCAAAAGAAAAAATCCATTAAACTAAAGGTGCGTTTAGTAAAATTGTTGTTGCCCTTTTTTTTCTCATTGCTAAAATTTGAACAATTGAAATTGATAATTAATAGCTAAAACTGAAAACTAAAATTAGTAACTTTTTGAGGTTCTGTTTAGTATGACTATAGTTTTTAACTTTTGGTTTTGGTTGCTAAAATTTAAACAATGAAAGTTAGCTATTGAAAATCAAAATTAAAATGTAAAACCCAAGAGTAAAAATTTTATTAGTTTATAAAAGTTGTTAATTTTATTCAAAGCTTTCTAAATTTTTAAAAATGTAAATTAAAAACCACAATCATATTAAAGGCATGTTTGATATAGTAACTAAAATTTAATGGATAGTGAATAATGAGTGATGAATAGTGAAGAGTTGTATCGAGTGGCCATTAGTAAATAACAGATAGTGGATAAAGAAAGAGTGGGTAGAGGATTGTAAATAGCAAATTTTGATTAATATAACTGTTTCATTGTATAATAGTTAATAGTTATTGTTTGATATTAAATAACTAATAAAAGTGTGTTTAAAAGTAATTAAGTGAAATTTTTTCTTTTTATATTTTTTATTATTAAAATTATTAATTTTTAAAAATAATAAATAAATAAATATATCAAATATGAAAGTGAGAACCATAAACTCATTTTTATTTTTAACAAAGAAAAAATTATATTATTTTTAAATAAAAAATAAACTTTTAATTATTTTTTCTAATTAGAAAATTTTATTTATTAAGTTAATATAAATTTTTTTATGATAAATTAATGTAAAATATAAAAATATAATAATCACTTAATGTTATTAAAGAGAAAACAAAGTTGATACTAACTAGATAATTGATAATTAAAGACCATGATAAAAAATTGAGAAATTAAAATGAGTAAATTTGTTTATAAAATTAAAAATTTCTAATATGTTAGTTTGAACCCTAACGATTATCGCTAATCCAAAATTACTAAATAAAAAGTTTATTAAATACTTAGTTTGTAATAGTTTCAAAACAAACAATTTACCAAACACTGATTCTATAATGGTTTAGGCAAAATCATTAACTACTACCACAAACTGTTATGCTAAATGGTTTTTAAATGGTTAAATACTAATTTTGGTCTCTCAACTTTATAGAATTGCACAATTTCATCCTTCAACTATTTTTTACACTTTTTTAATCCCTTAACTCTAAAAATTACATAGTTTTCGTCCCTCCATCAGTTTGAGCCATTAACTCAAACCATGTGGCATTTCTTTTATTTTTTTTAATGACGTGGATAAATGATGCATCCTTATTAATCCTATTTGGAAAATTAAGGGACGCACTTGCTTAAATTAATTATTATTAGATTAAAATATTTTTAAAATAACAAATTTACCCCTTATTCCATCTTCTACCTTTAGTCTCCTCTTTGTTTCCCTAATTCATCTTCCCCCTTTTTTGGCTTCCTTCTTCTTCGCTTCTCTTTCCCGCTCTTTATTCCTTCCACATCATAGCATCTTCGAAGTCTTGTCCATTAATGGAAAACATCTTTGTATCTTTGACAAGGATTCAAGCACCCTTTCTCTTCCTACCTTTCCCTTTCTTCCTCTCCTTCTTCCCCTCCATGCAAACCTTGGTTCTAATCTAGGTTCAATCAGACCCAAGAATTTGGGTTCATTTGAAATCCAAATGCTGGGTTTGTTTGAACCCAGATTTGGTTTTTTTCAATGATTTGGTTTTGTTTAAACTTAGATCTAAGTTTTGTCAGCGATCTAGGTTCTGTGGAACCCAACAATTTAGGTTCGTTTGAACCCAATTCTGGATTTTGTGGAACCTAGCAACGTCAGCATGGGTTCAAGGAACTCGAATTTCTAGGTTTTTAAACCCATATATATATATATATTTTTTCTTAAGTAACTCTAGCAATTTCTATGCATATATTGAACTCTTCTATTTGATAGATTTTTGTTTGAAATAATATGGTTGTAGGATGGCAATTTAGTATTATGAATGCTACAAAATTTTGTTTACATGTTTTGGTTTGGCTGTTTCTCTTGTAATTATGTGTTCATTAAGCTAGATTGGATCTCCTAAGGTTTCACTAAGAAAAGAGAAGAAGAAGATATTGGTTAAGATTGGTTAGATGAGAGAGTATTCTAGGGTTCACTAATTATTTTATCCCTTTATTTAATTTTTGCAAGCAATGTGGGACTCATTTGAAGGGCCTTTTGGTGCGTTTGGTTCACAAGAATATCACATGGCATAAAATTTTGTCCATGTCAACATCCTTTTTAAGTTATATTATCCATGTCATTAGAAAAAATTTTAAAATGCCATGTGGACAAAGTTAACGGCCTTAACTAGTGAAGGAACCAAAATCGTACAGTTTTTAGAGTTGAGGAATAAAAAAAGTGTAAAAAAATAGTTGAGAGATGAAAATTGTGCAACACTATAAAGTTAAGAGACTAAAATTAGTATTTAACCTTTTTTAAATTGAGTCTAACTATAAAATTCAAAATTGTTGACTTCAATAAAAAGTTTTTTAGTTATTTAATTTTATTTCTCCCTTTATTTATTTTTAGTGAACTTAGTTTTTTTTTTGTCCAATAAAATAAATATGTAATAATTTATTGATAAAATTTTATTTTTATCCCTAATTAAGTACCATTTAAATAAGACTTCTTATTTAATATATGTATAATTATCTTGTTAAAACAAGGGTAAAATGGGAATAAATGCATTAAATAATATCCTTAAAAAATATAATTAAATTTGAATGCTCTAAATAAGAAACTAAGTGTACTAAAGTTGAATGGAGGGAATATCTCTTTATTAAGGATAATACTCCAACTATCTCATAATAATAAGTGTTTTTTGACTTAGAATTTCTTCAAGAATAATAATTGTTTTGTTCATATTTAATGAGAGACATATTTTTTTTCCTATTTGAACCTTATAATTATCTCTTGAGTTTAATTACCTATTTTATTATGATTTAAATCTCATTATTTTTATTTTTTTTAAGGATAATAGAGGTAAAAATAGAAGTTATTCCTAAATCCTTAATTTGAAAATAAAATTAAAAAGTGTGTTATAGAAGAAATATAAGTAAAACATAAATTCTCTATCAATTTTCAATTTATTGTTTAAAAAATTAAAAGACAACAATTATTTTAAACAAAAAAATGTTGTGTAGTTTAGATTGCATTGAAATGCACAAAACTTAGGGGCAGAGTCTTTGATAGTGAAGGCTATCTATTATACAATGGCCTTTATTTTGACGTTTGATGCAGTCTACATTGCAAAATAGAGAATTCTATTTTAAAACAATACTCCCTCTATTTCATAATACTCTTTTTAACTTAAAATAATTGTCATTTTTTTTATTTTTTTCTCCAAATTAAGGATCAAGGATAATTTATCTATTTATTTATATCACTCTTATTAAAAAATTAAAAGATAATGTGAGACTTTTTGTAATGAGATAATTAATCAAAATAAATAGATAAGAATATGGTTAAAATAGGAAAAAAATATTTGTTCACTAGAAAAGATGAAAAAAAAAAATTAATTTGGAACAAAATCAAAGTTAAAAAGTGACAATTATTTTGAAATAGAGAGAATAATATGTTTGATTTGAGGGAAATAGATAGAAGGTGAGGATTTTTTTATCAATCAAATTATAACCTTTTAAATATTGCAATATGATTGGTAAAAAATTCTTTCTCTACTCTTTCCTCTCTCCTCCCCTCTATTCTCCCTAAACCAAATATACTATAATAGAGTTTTTTTTTTTTTTTTTTTTTTTT